CTGAAACCAACCTCAAATGTTCTAGTTTACCACATTTGTACTAATGTACGTCCACGTGTGGTGTGGAACTTATGGTCTTTGCCTTGCTTGCGAAGGACATGCGTTTGATTTCATAGTGGGGCAGATATTTCGTGCAGAGGAAAATCTTGTATCTCTGAGCCTGGATGTGCCCCTTCCATCCTGGGTGAACCCTAAATGGCAAGGCTGAACCAGCACACTTCATCAATTTTCTCGTTTGTGTGGAGGGATGAGTAGAGGAAAGGGAAAAGGGGCGAGGAGGGTTTGATTGAGGGCCGAGAATAAGTACAAGAAGATTAATTAAGAAGATTTATTATAGTCTGAGATGGGAACTCTTTACTATGTTGCCAAGATACTTTATATACTCGCCTGAAACACAACCTCACGTATAATAATTTAGGAGTATACTTTGGCTCCAAAACTGGCCCTTTTTGTGTAGATCTCGCTGATAATACGGGGTGAACATACAACGGCGGCTCAATACATGTATACGTTAAATCAAGTACTAGTTGGGTATCAAATACATTGTCGTACCTTTAACTTTAAGAACTTAATCCTATTGGTCATTTTCTCACTACTTCCCCTTTGTTAGATTAGACCGAACTGGGCTGTAGTATGTCGCGCATACGGGGGGGGGGGGGGGGGTGTCGTCGTCTATACCAGTGGATCTGATATTTTTGGAAAGGTTGTTTGTATTGTAGTCAAGTGTATGAGTATACACAGACAGAAAGAAAAGACAGATAGAAATTATAGATAGAGATAGACAGAAATAGCGTAATGTCCCTCTGTCTGTGGTGTATTGCTTGGCCTGGCTCTCCCTGTGCTCTCTGTCTGCCATAGTCGTGCATGGTGTCGGGACTCGTGCCCCGTTGACCTGTTGACCTCAGGTACCCCCTGATCTACAGTACAAGTGTTCCATTTAGATGCTATAGCCCTTTTCACTTTCTTGTGCCCACCTTTGCACTGCCTGCTGTCTATATCATCAGTCACCTTTTGACTAAATGTACTGGGAATTTGCACGTATGGGGTTTGAAATGCTCCTTCTTTTGTCTTGCGCGAAAATCGAACGTGTCGTAGATTTCGTTTCTTTGTTTATATTGGTTGAGGTGAGCTTGCTTAATTAAATGTGCACAATTTAGAATGGTTACGCTATTGAAGTTCACAACAATGACGACTTCATACTGGCGCTCACACAATTTTTTTACTCCGCGCAGGAAGCCTTTTCCATAATCTTGAACCCCCAAAAATGTGATTCAAAAGTTTGTCACTGAATAAATCGTCTAGAATAAAGATTTTATTAAAAGACATGAAAATCTTAAGGTAATTCAAAATAAAAGACTCGTATGCAAAAAAGCAGGGCAATAAAGCAGAAAGATTTTTTTTTTTTAATTGCAAGAAGCTGTAGGCATGAGAAAGTGAGCGGATTATAGTACTTAACAGATTACCCCTATTTTTGTATTATACGCATCCATAAAGTGTGTCTAGCCCTTGTAACATTTCTTCTTCAGAGAGAGACAGATCTTTTATTTCAAAGGATGTTTTAGTCTAGTGTGGGTACTAAGTGACACCTATAGATTAATGCTTATTTTTGCTATTAGTATTAATATGTTAATTATTATAATGATAATTCTTCTTCTTCTTCTTCTTCTTCTTCTTCTTCTTCTTCTTCTTCTTCTTCTTCTTCTTCTTCTTTTTATTATTATTATATAGGTATATATATCTATGTAAATGTAATTGTTTTTATGGTGTTTCCTTTACATTTTTAGGCTCAGGATGGTCAACTTACATTATTTACCATTACCACAGCAATGAAAGAGAAAGCTTTGGTTATCCATTTCATGTGAGCATTTTTATTAATTAAAGTGACATACATCAGTGTTTGCATCTCTGTGTAGTGTGTTTGTGCGTGCATGCATGTGTGTGTGTGTGTGTGTTTATGTGGATACAAGATAATATAATATGTGTGTGTGGGGGGGGGGGGGGGCTGATGATGGTTGTTTTGGTTTGGTGCATTCGCAGATAGTTTTTTTTCCCTCAAACAAATTGTTTATGCAGGTGGTTGGCGGGTGCTCTGGTGCTGTTTTCTCCTTCTTTCCTATCGAACATCTACATCGTCTTTATCTTCCCTCTTTTTTCTGTGCTTTGTTACTCTTTTGTAACACCTCTAGAATATTAAGCACTTAAATGATCCAATTGTGTTGCAAACGCCGTCAAAACTCTTACTGAAAAAAACCCACCAAATTGTTTATTTGTGGGTAAAGAACAAAACTAATCAGTTTCTATTGTGGACTACTTCAATCAACATGTTTTTATTGGCCCTACTGACACTATTTAAATCATTAGGAGGCGGAGTTCGACCCTGCCTGCCAGGGCCAACCCAGGCTGAGAGGGATACATCGTCCACAGATAGTGTCACTGATCCACCCTGGAAAAAGTGGGGGGGGGGGGGGGGGGGGGGGGTTCCAGGATCAATATTATTGTTTGATCAGATTTGTGTATACAGCTAACCAAAGCGGGTGGTAGTGGTTGGCGGATGCTTTGGTGTGATTTACTCCTTCTTTCCTATCAAGCATATCGTCCTGATCTCTCCTCTTTTTGGTGTTTGTTTCTATTGTAACACCTGTTTGGTGTTTGTTTCTATTGTAACACCTGTTTGGTGTTTGTTTCTATTGTAACACCTGTAACTCTACTCTTCGGCACTTTTGTACATGATATTTTAATTTGTTATATGACCTTATTGTGTTTCAAGTGCCCTACAACTCTTACTAAAAAACAAACAAACCCGAAAGCCGACCAAACAACAACCACGTGACATGTTGAGAGGTCAGAATGACCTGCTAACGGGGCACACGCTAAAGCCCTACCATAGACTTGTTGATGTACTGTCGAACCTGCTCTAGCAGCCACCTGTCCAAGACAATCACCTGTACCTACGACCACTTCCCATTGTTTATTCCTTGCGTTATTTGAATTGTATTATTAGACACATAACATTGCCTAAGACACCCACCTGTCTAAAACTACTACACCATTTTCTCCTCAACAATGGGTGGCCGCCCTGGACAGTTTCGAGTTTACCATGTGTTCTGTAGTTTAGGCTTGCGGGGCTTCTCTTCACTCATGCGGTCATTTGTAAGAATACAGTATATTATGCTGTTTTTATACTTTTACCTAAAAAGCCGAAAAGCTGAATGTTGTTACCAAGAAAAGAAACTTTGCAAACGTCCCATATTTGAAGAACACAATTTTGATAATAATTTTATTATTATCTTTAGAAGCAAATGTTGTTTTCTTTGTAACAACACCCAACTTTATTTGCTCTCTGTAAAACTTTTTTTTTTTAACTGCCCTGGAGTCGTACCTGTATAAGACGGAATCGCAAGGAAGCCAGGAAAAAAATCCGTTTTAGACATTTGCCGTCTTAGCAAGGGGAATTTAGGGGGAGATGGAAGGTGTGTGTGTGTGGAAAAAAAAGGGGGGGGGGGTGTCAGAGACCCAGCCAGTGGGATCAAAATTCGCTTGTCTGGTCGGCAAGCAATGGTCAAAACTTCACACCTCTCAAGTGCTATCAATTTGTTATAACGGTATGCGTCAGTCCTACTTCTCCACTGCCACCAGTGCTTGCATTTAATAAGACCACTGTTTGACCATAACAGAAACCCTCAACCGTAGCCCCATGTTCACCCATCGGTGTAACTAACACAGTCAACCTATGCCACCCCTCCCGTGCATCATGTAACAACGATACGAGGAACCCCTTTCTCGGCTGGCCGTACGATCAGGGAGGCAGGCATTGGTCAAACTTATTTCACACCTCCGACCTTTGACTTCCCATGAAAGTTTCCGTGCTGAGGCGCCACTCGAGCACTTTCACAGGCACTGGTGAGATTTCACACCCACACCAACCTCCCTGGACCTTCTGCACCGCTAAGGGCCCTCACAATACTCACATGGATCGAGTAACATCTGACGCAGAGAAAGAACGTACTCTGTACTGTATAGCCTTAGGATAACATCTACCCCCAAATTGCACTCCTTGTCCTAGCGGCATCGGCATCAGCGTAAAGATGCAGCCGGTAGAACCAAACTTGAAAGCTTTGTTTCAAATCAGGGAGCCAAGCATGTTCCGTCTTAAACAGGTAGGTAAAAACCCTCCGAAGAGAAGGAATTTCTCTTTCCCTCCGCGTTAGACAAGTTTCCGTTTTTCAAAGGCAATTATAGAGGAATTTATCAAGGGGGATTTTTAATTTTTTTTTGGGGGGGGGGGGGATTCCGTACAAGTTTCCGTCTTTCACAGGTTTCCATAAAAGGCAGGTTCGACAGTACTTTATTGTTTTTAAATGACGGCGGACTCGCCTAGTGAGACGCTTACACATTAAAGTTTGGTGGAAAGTAGAGACGAATGCAAACAATAGAACATGGTTAGATTAGCTCTAGTTAGAAGTTAGAGCACAGGAAAGGAGACGAAAGAAGAACAATTTAGAGAAGTAAATTTTCCGTCACTGTCAGGTTTCGAACTCGGGACCTATGGAATGAGAATTAGAGGCGAACATCGTACCTCTAGACCACGAGAGCCCACTCATCAGTACAATGTATTCTTGAAACAATGCAGAGTGTGACGAGTGTCCTGTGCCGGCGTAGAATCTATGTGGTGCGCTTTGCCGCCGCACGCAGGACACCCGAGTCGGATACCTGTGTGTGTGAGTGTGCGAGTCTGTGTGTGTGTGGGGGGGGGGGCTTATCGAGCGTCTCGGTCTTTCTGTTGGGATGTAATTCCCCTTTCGGCCTGGGTGAGCCCTGGTGGTAGACAAAAAGCCCACATCCTGCATCACCTAAATTGTGTCCATGTGGGTGTAAAAACAAATTTGGGAGGGGAAAAATTCAGATTTTGTCGACTTGTTCCGATCCTCGTCCCCGTTATCCCTTGTAACATTGGTCGGTCTGTGGATCCGAACAGTTTTCAGAGGGTGAAGAAATGCAGGTTTCATATTGTATGACATTATATTTTTAATAATTTTTGTTGATCCCAGCAAGGAGATTCGATTTACAATGGCCTGGATACATAAAAACATGATACAATAATTATAATTTGTCATCACTACACAATATCATATTATGGGTGCTCTGGTGTGGTTTGCTCCTTCTTTCTTTTCAAACATCTCTCTTATCTTTCCTTTCTCTTTCATACATATGTCAATCTTTAGCAACACATCTAATCTTTGGCACACGACCTGTTTGCGATGCAAATGCCGTAACGGGCTTACTAGAACTAAAAACTGAACAAATTAGTCCGATGGGATGTCCTTGGGAAGGTCAATAACTGAGTCAGGGTCGAGTGCGACTACTGGAGGTGGCGGGAACTCACTGGGCGGATCTCCAGGTTTCTCGGTCGCTACTACTTTCTTGACCTCAACCTCGGCGTCGTGGATGACCACATTGTGGGGAGCCGTGCCACTGACACTGGCAGAGACTGCGGCGTGCGCTCGCGCAGACCTCCTATGTCTTCCCGGCATAGGATACATGTCTCCCCATTCTATCCGTATGTCTTTACCAGCCACTTCGTCAAACTTGCCTGTTAGTGTAAACTCATAGCGTCCCTCCCGGGCGAGGCTGTTTATCAAGTTCTGTGCGGAACCATACCGTTGTTTCATGTTTGCCCACAACCACGGGCGCTGGATAGAGTCGCTCTGCTCCTTCACGGCTTCGTAAAAGGGTACACTGGCATCTCCAAACCTGTAATTAACTGTTGGTCGGCTCCCACTGCCTGTGTGTTGGTAATGATAATTTGTTAATCTTCCACCGGGGCCTCCTCCCCATCTCAAGAACCCTCTGAGCTCTGTGGAAAAGTGAATTAGGATTTTTGCTGTGTAAGGCAAAGTTCTTCGAGTTTTGGATATAGTGAGCGTAAAATTAGCAGCGTTGTAGGCGGGTACTGTGACGGACTCCTCCACTCGGAACGACTCTGTCTGTGACTGGCCAGAGGAATCGGACGTGGAGGAAGACGTCTCGTACGCGAATCTGTAGTCGGCGCTGGCGGAGACACCTCCCACCAGGCCAGGGGTGTAACCAAAAGTGACGCCCAGCTCCTGTGATCGCCGCCAATCCGAGGTCACAGTGTGGGTTACGCTACGAGTGACGTCAGTAGAGCGCGTTATGACATGCGTGGCATCGTAGGGAAACCCATTGTCCACGACACCAGTGTCCATTGTCTCCGGCTGCAAACTTTGTAGCACTGGGGTGCCGAAAGTCATACTTTTGATGGAGAATTTCCAATGTCCGTAGTTCATACTTAGACGTTGATTGTTCATATACCCGGAACAAGGTCCTCTTGTGTCGGCGTGCCAAGTGTCGCCTTGTCGACGAAAATCTTCACCGACATAAGGAGCACGGCAACTTGCGCACCAGCCGTAGCCCAGATAGTGAGCCAGGGTGGCAATGTCAGACATTGTTTTGTCCATAACTCTAATCTTAGCTTTTGACAGAGAATTGATTGTATCCGGCCGGGGTGCCATTTTGCAGCACTTCATTTTCTCGATGCATAATAATTGATCACAACCTCCACGATAGAGACCGGTGACGAAGTAGTCGTTGTCGCATTCACTGACTCCTTTGTTGTCAAATGACGCTGCTATATCTTTATCGTAACAGTGGCCATAATGGTATGGATGTGATGCTGGCTTCATACAACGGCCTTCTTCTATATTTCCAAGTCTATGTCCGTTTGTCCTGTAGAATCCCTGTAAGAAGTATCCAGCAGGGCAGTTATTCCAGTTATTGTTAAGATCAAAACTGCCCCACCAATTGGCGTAAAAGATCTGTGTGTGGTCTCCTCTGTATGGACTTGGGGCGGTACAGCAGACCGCCTCCTCTAGCAAATAAATTTGATCGGGGTTGCGTCTATCATTCCTATAGAAACCTTTGACGTATTCATTGCCCGTATTGCTGCATTTGGACAAACCTTCCCTGTCGAAGCTTCCCCACCAGTTGTCTCTCCTACATCCTCCATGAACGCTGGAAGCGAACAGCAGGAACATCAAACATGCACATCTAGCGATGACCGCCATGGTTCGTGTCTGCTTCTGCCTGGCCTGGCCCACGGTCGTCCTGCAATGCTTGTTGCTGTTGACTTTGTGGGAAATTAAAGTGGAGCTGTTGGTTGTTGTTTTTTTGTGGTGTTTTTTTTTTTTTAGTTTAATATGACGAACCTGCAAAAGAGAAAAGAACATGGAGGTTTACTATTTATTTATTGTCTGCATTGGTTGTTGTTGTTGTTGTTGTTGTTGTTGTTGTTGTTGTTGTTGTTGTTGTTGTTTCTACAAGGTTCAGAAAAGTGTTAGAAGTTTAGGAAGAGGACCAGGCGTAAAAACGAAGCTGTTGTTCTTTATTCCAAGAGTGAATTTACGTGTAACTGGGGTTCATGTTCTTTATTCACGGAACGTATCTTTCTATGTGTATGTTATTCATGTTATTCATTTAAAGAACATATGTATTTCTATTGTGTGTTATTCATATTATTCATTCAACGTGTATATATAATATATATAATATATGGTTCATATTATCCATTCAAGGAACCAGTCTATGAGAATTATTTGGCCCGTGTTCTTTATTTCATGGAACGTGCCTATGTGAATGTGATTCATATTATTCATTCATGTAACATATTTCTTTTGTATGTGATTCACGTTATTCATTCATGTAATATATTTCTTTTGTATGTGATTCACGTTATTCATTCATGTAATATATTTCTATTGTATGTGATCATATTATTCATTCATGTATTTATGAGGTTCGGATTATTTGTTCAAGCAGGTGGTTGGAGGGTGCCACTGGTAGGTCCTACGTCTTTACTTTCCCCTCTGTTGTTTCTGTCTCTGTCTGTTTTATTTCTCTTATTTTTTCCCACGACTAAATGACCAATATCGTGTCGACGTGCTTCTCCTTACTCTAATTTTTTTTAAAACAATTTATTCAAGGAACCAGTATATGAGTATTTATGTGGTTTGAGTTCTTTATTCATGACAAGTCTATGTGCACCATTGTGTGAAGGCCAAGCCGGGCAACGACAAGGGTTTAAAAAATGACATGGAAAAGCGGCCTTCTTGAATTCACGTTTAAAGAAATCTTCACCAATTTTTCGTTTAGTGAAACTTTTCTTTCTATCACTCGTGTAAAAGGACAGATGTTTTACCCTAATTGATTTGCATCAACTAGATATTGTTGAATAAAAAGGGCTAGCATGTACTCTTTCTTGATATCTTCGGGAAAAGACCTCAACCCCAAAGAGAGAGAGAGAGAAAAAGAAAAGAAAAAGCAACAACACTAGTAAGTAGCAGCGGTTGATACGATAATAATATGTTTTTAAGTTGCCAATTAGAATACCGTTAAGTGAGGGAAGCCAAAGGGACACTGAGTGGCTGGTCTATTCATATAGACTTGTTTTATAATTGTACACTCAAGGTTCACCGCGGGGCGTACCCTTTGACTTTCTAGAATGAAATTAAGGGCACTCACCTATAAATACACACACACACACACACACACACACACACACACACACACACACACACACACACACACACACACACACACACACACACATATATATTTATAGTATGAATGACGGACGAGACTGTTGTTTTGCGCTCCATTTATACGCCCGTGGTGCACACGATCCCAGCGAATTTTTATAGAGAGCAAAGAACGGTTGCCATGACAGTGCACGGTCCCAATGATATTAAGAGGTAGAAGAAGAAGTCGGGACCATCCCACACAGAGAGAGCTACACGTCCCAGCAGAAGACTAAAGTAGGCCTACTCATCGTGTTTAAATCTGTATGCGACTGTGAAGCGTTAATAAATGGGGTGCCCGCTGCGGATGGGGTCGTGTGTGACAAGGGCGATCGCCCCACTCGTCGCCAACTACAAACGCGTTTGTTTTTGAGTTGGCGCGTCGGGCGCGATTGGCTTGTGCCACGATACCCTCTTTGCGCCCTCAATCTGGCTAGCAAAACGCCCCGACCAGACCCGATCTCCCAATGGGCACGCCGTATAACCACTACACCAGACCCGAACCGACTACGACTGCTCTGAAGATTCAACTAACTGTACGTAAGATCAGATAAGATAATCTTTATTGTCCTGATCCTTGCACTTTGGTTTGGTGTTTCACCACACACCACTCTCTCTCTCTCTCTCTCTCTCTCTCTCTCTCTCTCTCTCTCTCTCTCTCTCTCTCTCTCTCTCTCTCTCTCTCTCACACACACACACACACACACACACACACATACATACACACACAAGTACCTATACACAGGCACGCACGCACGCACGCATGCATGCACGCGCACAAACAAACAAACAAACAAATACACACACACATACAGACACACAACACACACACTTTATCACACATCCTCTCCTTCACACACATCTGTGCACATAAACGTTGCACAAACAAGCTCGCAGTCACATGCATTATGTACAGGGTGATCCAAAACAATCTGTTCAATTTGTTTTCGAAATATCCCGCACAAAATTTGTACTAGATCTAGTATGTTGTAATTTGGAACAGGTATAATTCATTCAAAAGGAATTTGATTGGCATAAAATTTACGAAGAAGAAACTTATACATGTATTCGAAAACGGAAATGGCGTTTATAAAAACCGCCTATAAATTATAAATGCAAAGTACACCAATTTCAAAGATCTCGTAAGGAATGTCATGAACCGAACGGTTCGTTTTTTTCCCTTTCCCTTGTTTTTAAAATCTTTCCATCCTTGCAATCTCTAAACAATATTTCTTTTCTCCTAAAGAGATTTTTTTAAAAACAACTTTATTTTTAATTCTTGAATTCCGAGAACCAATTGTCTGATATGTCCTCGTTTGGGCTCGACCGCGGGGCTCGACACATTTCAAAGCGTCGTTCGTAATGCTCAGTCAGTGGTGGCCAAACACAAGGATCCACTCAGCCGTGAGTACTCGAAGCCACACACTGTACACCTTACAGTATGGAGCTGTTTCTAAAGACAATTAGGGAGGGGGGGAGGGGGGTGAGGTTGCCTAAATATACAGCATTTGTGGAAGGGTGAATATATGGGATTTGCCAAGGAACAAGATGTCAAAGAGGAAATGTTCACGCTTTCCAAGACGATCGAGGAATCATGAACACATTGCTACCCTCTGATAGCTTCGCGAACGGGAAAATGGTACGCAGTCGCAGATGAGAAGATCTGCCTTGAGAATGCGGACTGTTGAGATGTAGGAAAGTCATTGTTGCAGATATCGTCTCGGACAGCACGTCTTATGGGGCTCATCGACTGAATTCTGCACCCTGGTGACGTTTAAATTAGAGCTGGGCGAAGACTCGATTCTGGAACCGATTCCCACGATTAGCTACGGATGAAAAGTTCCGACTCCTTTTTATGTAAACCAGTGGTTACATTTTTTAGAATTTATTATTTATTTTAAAAAGTTGGTGCCTCACAGTGTTCCGAAATCAAGGTTGTCCTAAATCCTGAAGATGTTCGGGGCTAACCAGGTAACCACCGGAAGGAATCACATCAATAGAAAGTAAGTAATTGGGATCGGAGTCGATTCCTACGATTCCTAGCTTTCAATAATTGGGAACCTAGCCGCCCAGCACTAGTTTAAATGGGTGCGAACAGTGTGTGTTTTACCTGAATTGGTCGCTTTGTCAGGGAATTTTTAGTTCTGATTCTCTACAGGTCCTTATAACTGATGGACCATTTCCACCCCTGACATCAGAGATCAGGGCCTTAAGGGCACTTTAACAGTATTTCCGTATCTTGTGCGAAACTTACCAAATGAGTTGGTGGTGAGGAAATTATGTTCAATACAAAAAGCTCTCTGCTCTATACTAATCTGAACCATGATACCAGCAGGTGTAAGAAACTCGAGAAAAACTATCTGCAAACTTCTGTTGGCCTGTTAGACTCTTGCAATATACGTGGCGCCATCGTTGGAATGTTAGTTTTAGGCCAAATGCGAAACATTGCGTCTTGCTACAAAAAATGGGGAAATATAGCTGAAAACGGGTTGGGTTTTTTTGCGCGCTTTATGAAGAACAAAACTATTCTGTGGATTTATCTAAAATGAATATCAAACAAATTCCATTTGACTTTCAAATGTTGTGTACGAATTTGAAACGCAAAACTTCAGTGTGGAGGTAAATATTAACAAAAAAAGTTGTACAATTTTTGTTTTGTTTTTATCACCCTGTAAATGAACAATAAGTGTAAACAGTAATAATAGTGTTAAGTTAGATTCATAATCGGGGTTCTGATTGTAACCCAATATATATGAGGGAGGAC